GTGTGTGTGTGTGTGTACAGCACACATACAGAATATAGGTGCTCTAGTTTGTATGGAACAAAAGCCAATGGTGCAGTGGTTTAACATGTCGCGTTCGGATGTGAAGAGGAATGGTTCTACTCCCTTTGGGTCACCAAGCCCATTTGCAAAAAGAGATTCCGTTCGCGAGACATTTAGGTAATGGTAAGAAACGTGTACGACTTAATGGACGGAAACACTTCTTACTATTATAATAATTTCGAAAACTTTCCAATTTTCATTTCATACCTTCTTTTTCCTTTTCTTCTCTTTATTTCATTTTTTCATATTATAACTTTCTATGCAAAGGAGTCCCTGTAAGCTTGCTTCTAAGCAATCTTCGGAAGCGTAGATTGCGCAATGAACCGCTGATGCAAAAATGTAGGCATAAAATGTCAACTGATTAAAAGAAAGAAAGTGGATAAATTGAACAAAAACCCACCTTTCCAGGTAACACTGGCAAAATCGTTTTGCTCAATGCCTGCTTTAGTTGATCGTTGAACGACTGCTGATATTTGGTGATATTCATTTCCGCTATACTTTTCAAGAATTCACCTGACCAGAAGAGAGGTTTTTGTCCTGAAATGGTTTTTTTTAACAAAAATACAAGACGTTTTTAATCACGCAGTTTTTGAAGAACAATTATATCTATAGTTAGAAAAATATAAATATTATTACAAAGACCTACAACGGCTTTTTGGTCCCTACCCTCCCCCCTCCCCTCTCTCCCGACTAGAAAACGGAACCAAACAAATGAAGTGATTTTGTAAATTAAAATTGCCAATTGATTTAGACTAAACCAGATCATTATTTTATTATGTAGACTAAACCAAATCATTATTTTATCATGATAATTCTATTTCTCATATTCTATTGTACATATAAAAACAAAGAAATTATATCTGAATAAATACACTGGTAACAAATATGATGATTTCGTTTCCATAATTAATTGATTTAATTAACGGTATCAATTTTTGAATAAAAAGATAATTTTTATAATTTATTGAAATAATTCTAAAGTAGTAAAACAAGCTGAAATTAAACAAAAAAAAGCGAGATCATTATAATAAATCAAAAATATTGCAATTATAAAATGTTAATACTTTCCGAAAAGTAATATTACCATCGCTTAATGCCAATGTGTTAATTTTGATGAGAACGTTTGTTTGCAGTACAACTTCTGCCACAGCACTTAGTACAGAAGCAGCTTCACCCAGCTCGGACATCACACCACGGCTGATGTAAAACAAGATATTGTTGTACTTCTCATTTTGACCGGTCTCTCGAGCAATTTG